CCTGGCCTCAGAGTCATACGAAATATACTTCATGTATTTCTGAGCACCTCCAAGACGTATAATACCTACTAATGGTCTAGTTACTTTAAACAGAAACGAAAGTAGGGAGGTTGGTCAGGGAGGATCGGTGGGTGTAATCCGCAACCGTCTAGCAATCCAAAGGTTGCGTGTTCGAGTCGCGTCGGCGACAACTGTAACATATGATCTAACCCTTCCCCTGACCATTATTCTAAACTTAACCCAATTCACCTAACCTGCTACGCAAATTCACCTGATCTTTGTCGATTTAGTTCGCCTAACCTTTTACGTACAATGATCCTCACCTTTGCAGTTAGTTCCCCTAACCAGCAAACCAATACTCCTTTGTTGTTACTGTGCAACAAGCAACCGGGTCTCAGATAAAGACGTTTAATACTATACGTCCTCCAAGATGTATGATAATTACATCAACCATTTCAAATGATATTGTACAACCGCTATTACATTTAAAATGTAACCCAACGTAACGTAACATATCATACTAAATGGAGTGTCACAGATTTACATACAGAAAAATATAGATTGCCCTGAAAAAAACGTTGGGTGAACATACCGACACGCAGCAGCAAGGAGCAATCATCTCTGTCTCTGAGTGATGAGTTGAGTGACATAACATCATTCATTGGATTCCTACAGACAACAGACATAGCAGCCTTCATTAGATTCATACAGATATGTCTGTATATTATATAACTACTGAAGGAACATGTCTGTATATTATATAACTACTGAAGGAACATGTCTGTATATTATATAACTACTGAAGGAACATGTCTGTTATATTATATAACTACTGAAGGAACATGTCTGTTATATTATATAACTACTGAAGGAACATGTCTGTATATTATATAACTACTGAAGGAACATGTCTGTATATTATATAACTACTGAAGGAACATGTCTGTTATATTATATAACTACTGAAGGAACATGTCTGTTATATTATATAACTACTGAAGGAACATGTCTGTTATATTATATAACTACTGAAGGAACATGTCTGTTATATTATATAACTACTGAAGGAACATGTCTGTTATATTATATAACTACTGAAGGAACATGTCTGTATATTATATAACTACTGAAGGAACATGTCTGTATATTATATAACTACTGAAGGAACATGTCTGTATATTATATAACTACTGAAGGAACATGTCTGTTATATTATATAACTACTGAAGGAACATGTCTGTTATATTATATAACTACTGAAGGAACATGTCTGTTATATTATATAACTACTGAAGGAACATGTCTGTTATATTATATAACTACTGAAGGAACATGTCTGTTATATTATATAACTACTGAAGGAACATGTCTGTTATATTATATAACTACTGAAGGAACATGTCTGTTATATTATATAAACTACTGAAGGAACATGGTCTGTTATATTATATAACTACTGAAGGAACATGTCTGTTATATTATATAACTACTGAAGGAACATGTCTGTTATATTATATAACTACTGAAGGAACATGTCTGTTATATTATATAACTACTGAAGGAACATGTCTGTATATTATATAACTACTGAAGGAACATGTCTGTATATTATATAACTACTGAAGGAACATGTCTGTTATAACTATGAAGGAACATGTCTATATATATAACTACTGAAGGAACATGTCTGTATATTATATAACTACTGAAGGAACATGTCTGTTATATTATATAACTACCTGAAGGAACATGTCTGTTATATTATATAACTACTGAAGGAACATGTCTGTATATTATATAACTACTGAAGGAACATGTCTGTATATTATATAACTACTGAAGGAATATGTCTGTATATTATATAACTACTGAAGGAACATGTCTGTATATTATATAACTACTGAAGGAACATGTCTGTATATTATATAACTACTGAAGGAACATGTCTGTTATAATTATATAACTACTGAAGGAACATGTCTGTTATATTATATAACTACTGAAGGAACATGTCTGTATATTATATAACTACTGAAGGAACATGTCTGTTATATTATATAACTACTGAAGGAACATGTCTGTATATTATATAACTACTGAAGGAACATGTCTGTATATTATATAACTACTGAAGGAACATGTCTGTTATATTATATAACTACTGAAGGAACATGTCTGTATATTATATAACTACTGAAGGAACATGTCTGTATATTATATAACTACTGAAGGAACATGTCTGTATATTATATAACTACTGAAGGAACATGTCTGTTATATTATATAACTACTGAAGGAACATGTCTGTATATTATATAACTACTGAAGGAACATGTCTGTATATTATATAACTACTGAAGGAACATGTCTGTATATTATATAACTACTGAAGGAACATGTCTGTTATATTATATAACTACTGAAGGAACATGTCTGTTATATTATATAACTACTGAAGGAACATGTCTGTTATATTATATAACTACTGAAGGAACATGTCTGTTATATTATATAACTACTGAAGGAACATGTCTGTATATTATATAACTACTGAAGGAACATGTCTGTATATTATATAACTACTGAAGGAACATGTCTGTTATATTATATAACTACTGAAGGAACATGTCTGTATATTATATAACTACTGAAGGAACATGTCTGTTATATTATATAACTACTGAAGGAACATGTCTGTTATATTATATAACTACTGAAGGAACTTGAGCAAAGTGGTAGATCAGAAAAATGGTTTTGCTCTACTGGGCCATGTACCATGTGGTGAAATGGGTTCTGTCCTCTGTCTGGACTAAATGGTTTCAGTCCTCTGTCTGGAGTAAATGGTTCCAGTCCTCTGTCTGGAGTAAATGGTTTCAGTCCTCTGTCTGGAGTAAATGGTTCCAGTCCTCTGTCTGGAGTAAATGGTTCCAGTCCTCTGTCTGGAGTAAATGGTTCCAGTCCTCTGTCTGGAGTAAATGGTTTCAGTCCTCTGTCTGGAGTAAATGGTTCCAGTCCTCTGTCTGGAGTAAATGGTTCCAGTCCTCTGTCTGGAGTAAATGGTTTCAGTCCTCTGTCTGGAGTAAATGGTTCCAGTCCTCTGTCTGGAGTAAATGGTTCCAGTCCTCTGTCTGGAGTAAATGGTTTCAGTCCTCTGTCTGGAGTAAATGGTTTCAGTCCTCTGTCTGGAGTAAATGGTTCCAGTCCTCTGTCTGGAGTAAATGGTTTCAGTCCTCTG